TCATTTTCCTTAAATTGAGCTGCCAAGCTGAAGCACCAAAAAAAAAAAAAAAAAGTATTTGCGGCAAAAAAAGAAAAAAAAAGCACTAATATCTTTTTTTTTATGCTTTATTGTTCTAGCAACATTCGGACCAAATTACGCGGATTACGTCAATCAGTCTATATTTAAAAAGTAAATAGCTTTTTATGTGTTAATATATTCTTATCTTAACACGAGGCAAACCTTTGACGCATTTGAGGGTTTGTATCACTTCATAAAGAATGTAAACACGGAAAAATTCTTTTCAATTCATTTCCCTCGTTTATTTTCCGTAACGAACTTATCCAAGATTTGGAATGAAGCGCGAGTGTACGAACTCCCTTCTCCTGGCATGGAAGATAGAACCCTCGATCCAGTGGCTACCCAACCCTCCTCCCCATCCCTTCCTTCCACCCTAATGCTCGGAGGCTAGTTAGGTTGAGAACTGATGGACTGGGTGGATACATCATAAAGTTTGTCTGATTGATGACTAAAAAGCCTGGCCTTAGCTATTGATATTTTTAAAACAATAATACACTTTGTGACTTTGGTGAATATGTCGGATTATTTCAATGTTGTAACTGTTACAATTATCCCTGTAATTTCCCCTCATCGTCTCTTTACATGGCCTGCATGATTAAAATTAGAAAGAATAGTCAACATTTTTGACTTACAGCCCTATTAGATTGGTATTGTTCATAAATATGTCTTTTGGCAAATTCTCCAACTGGTTGTTGCCCAAGGATCTGTCAAGAAATGACGAGAGTTATAGTACGTGTAACAAGTGTTCAGCCGTATTATTGATATAAACGTATTATCATTACCATCAACATCTTTAAGTGGCTAGAAATGTTTTTGATAAGATAAGATAAGAACCCAGGTTGCTGATACTGCAACGTATTTATATTTTCAGGTAAATCTGTCAACTCCATTATTTAGTCATCATGCGTAGTTGTCTTTGAAGACATCCATAGATGACTTGGCCATTCGTCAATCTATTATTTTCAGCATAAAGGATTTCAATGTCGTCATGAAAAACAACATGATGTTTGAGTTTCTTGAGCGGGTTCTTCCTTCCAATATGAAATAAAGGAAGAACGCGTTTGAATTAGCTTAGACATTTTTCGTATTTTTTGGAATTTTTGAAATTTTTCTTATCGATCTCGCGAACGAGTTTCCGTGAACCAAGCAATTTGTTAAAAATTTCCATTTTCAAGTGTTAGTTCGGCAAGATAACGAGCTATTTCGTGGAACAAAACGATTTTGAGGGTTCCTTTTTTTTATTGGAGGCATTGAAAACAACTGAACACTTTAAAATTCCTCTCTTCTCCCTCCCTCTCCTCCCATCACCCATTGTTGTGATACATAAGGTTTTACGATACAAACTGACATGTAGTGTAGACCTCATCATAAGCCAGGCGATATTGACTTGTTGTATGTTGGGGGTGGGGTAGGTAAAGATACTAAAAGAAGTTCCAAAGGAAAAAACACTGAACTAATGATACAGAATGTCTGGAATAGACAGATCTTGGCAGGGGAGTATAAGGAAAATTCCCTGTGTTATAACTGTTTGACGCGCTGCCTAGTCTAGGTTTCCATACGAGAAACTTAAGTATATGAACGTGCACAGAGGTGGATTTTCATGATTTTTTTTGTCCTTCCAAATTGAAGTATTCTTTAGTAGAAAGTGTTCGTTTACAAACTTTTTTTCGCGTTCTCTAAACATCCCATTATTTAGTTATCTGCGTAGTTATCTTTTAAGACATTCATCTATGAGTTAGCCATTCGTAAATCTATTATTTTCAGCAGAATGAATTTCAATGTCGTCATGGGAATCAACATGATGTTCGAGTTTCTTGAGCGGGTTCTTCCTTACAATATGAAATAAAGGGAGAACGTATTTGAAATAGCTTAGACATTTTTCGTAATTTTTTGCAATTTTTGCAATTTTTCTGATTAATCTCGCAAACGAGTTTCCGTGAACCAAGCAATTTGTTAAAATTTTCTTTTTCAAGAGTTAGTTCGGCAAGATAACGAGCTATTTCGTAGAACAAAATGATTTTGAGGGTTTCTTTTTTTATTGGAGGCACTGAAAACAACTGAACACTTTAAAATTCCTCTCTACTCCCTTCCTCTCCTCCAATCACCTTTTGTTGTAATACATAAGGCTTTACGATACAAACTGACATGTAGTGTAGACCACATCATAGGCCAGGCGATATTGATTTGTTGTTTGGTGGGGGGTAGGGTAGGTAAAGATACTAAAAGAAGTTTGAAAGGGAAAAGCACTGAACTAATGATACAGAATGTCTGGAATAGACAGACCTTGGCAGGGGAGTATGAGGAAAATTTCCTGTTATAACTGTTTGACGCTCTGCCTAGTCTAGGTTTCCATACGAGAAACTTAAGTCTTTGAACATGCACAGAGGTGGACTTCCATGATTTTTTTTCTCCTTCCAAATTGAAGTATTGTTTAGTAGAAAGTCGTCGTTTACAAACTTTTTTTTTCGTGTTCTCTCAACATCTCAAGTGGTTTGTATACGACGGTAAATCAATTAAAAGGTATGGTTTATTGTTTAGCTTTTCGCCTCCCGGAGCAAAGAGAGACGCGAGATTTGCGCTTGTAATCGTTGCAGGGTAATAGGAGTTACAATCATCCCTTTGTGCTATATTATCTCACTGTTTTTCTATATACTACGAGTACGTTCGGTAGTCAGGTAAGGTTGAAACCAAGGGAAAAACAAGTTCCAGCGGCTCCGCAATCATTGAAGGCAAATGTAGACAAACTTGAGTTGAAGTATAAAGCTGTTTGACACGAAAATGTCGCAAGGTAGTCGACGTTTAACGGAAAACACAACGCCTTGATTTTTTGTAAACTTTCTTTTACGAAAATGACTTTAGTTCTCAATAACTCGAGTGTATTTTAATAATCTACTTATTAATTTTTTAATCTTTTTTTTTTCGGTTTTCGTTTTTTAGGCTTGGTTAAGTAATAGCCTTTAATTTATGAAAAAAAAATCGCCAATGTAAAGTCGTTCACAATGGGATTCAGAGAAAGTTTCTGTTAAAAGTTTTTTTTTGAGACTACTTTCATATTCTATTTTTATCTAAAATCTTACAGCCTCAAATTATTGAAGGCTGGGCAAAGCACGACTCTTTGTCACGCTCAAGATTATATATATTCTTAATTTTGAGACGACTTTTGTGCCTTTTTGGTCCAGGATTTACTTTGAACATTAAACAAGGGCTTTGTTTTCTCTTCTCACGTTTCCCACGATAAGAAAGTAACAAGACCTACTACTTGAAAAATACAAGACTCAAACGCGAATGTAGACAAATTTGGGTTGAAGTACAAAGCTTTTGTCGCAAAAATGTCGTAGGAGTCAACGCTTAACGAAAAACTTGAGGCCTTGAAGGTTTTTAAATTTTTTTAAACAAAAATTGTTTTTGTTCTTAAGAACCCCACGCACTTTAAATTTAAGATTATTGTTATTATTACCTGTTTTTGGAAATAAATGGACGATGCAAAATCGTTCACAACGTGATTAGAGAAAGTTGTTGTTAAAAAGTTTTCAACTCTTCGTGCAATGGAGTTATCATAACGGATTAAAATAAAGGTTTGTGTGAAATGATGCTTCTTTAAAGTTATTGTATGCTATATTTACGCGATTTGTTTTAAACAACTTTTTATATCTATATCTAAAGTTATTATTATTATTTTCTGTTTGTTTGTTTTTAAGGCTTTTTAACTAATAAATTTTAATTTGTTGGGTTGGAGATAAATGGACGATGCAGAATCGTTCACAACGGGATAGACGCTTGAGGGTGCCTGCCACATTTTAAAATTCTCCTTCCCAGTTGTTACTCTTCAAGCATTTTGAATGGTTTATTCAAACTGGTTTTCGCTTTTTGACTAAGCTATAGGTGTCACTGGGCTGATATTTGTTTTCTTTTTTCTTTCCTTTTTTTCTGTCAACATATTACAGTTACTATTACCATCTTTTTTCTTTTTTTAAAGCTTGTTTAAGTAATAAACTTTAACTTATATAAAAAACATTGCCAATGCAAAGTCTTTCACACTAGGATTCAGAGAAGGTTTTTTGTTCAAAAGGTTTTGTTTGAGGCTACTTTCTTATGTTACACCATCCGCTAGTTTCATCGAAACAGCGAATCCAGCGAGGAACCCTCAAATAACGGAAAAACCAACAGATCTTGGATGGAAAGTGTACTCCCTAAAAGAAAAAAACATGAGGATGAAACTACACGTTGAATTCCTGAAAACTTGCATAGAGGAAGATATTATTCCGAAAGGATTAACCATTGATTTGCGATCGACGACAGGCCGACAAGATGAAACCTTCCAAAACAAATGGAAAGAAATACTAAGCAATTGCTCACGGCAGCTCGCGGAATGTCTCGTGGAACACTACGAGAGGCAGCTGGCACAAAATATTGCCGTGATAGCCGACACTTTCGAGTCACTCGAGAAGATTGAGGACTGGACGGACAGGGACAAGCAACAAGTAGAACAAGAAATAGAATCAATTATTGACACGAAAGAAAAACAGCTAAGGAGAAAAAAGAAAAGAAGCTGGAAACTGCCCGTAAGAACAAACAACCGGTGCAAGAGGCAGAACATCAACCACTTGATCGTGGCACTGAAACATATGCAGAAGTAGTCAAGAAACACATTCGTCAGAAACTGACCCCAAATAAGTCGGACCCACAAGAAGAAAAATACCACCTGAAGAACGTGGCCAAAGAAGGTACTATGAAAGATCATCAAGGGACAGAGAGTGGGGCTACAGACGCTACCAACAACAATCACTAGGTTACAACCAGCATGAAGGAGGTAAGCGCCAATCACAACGGCGGTATTTTTTAAGCGGTCGCCCACCCGCCAGGAACAGATACAAAGATTGAGATTGAAACCAAACCGAAAAGATATCAACGGAAATTTGACATTGGAACGGAAATGGACAATGAGTAAAGTCAAACCCAAAGAAATGACACGTGAGAAATCCACACACATAGAGAATATTTTAAATAGACGAACAGTAAACTTATCTGGCATTCAACTTACGCAGTCGGAAACAAACCTTCTACGTAAGGGACTTAACTTTTGCCCAACACCACCGCCACCAGGAAAATATGAAATCAGTAAGGACATTGATGCCTTTGCCCGTAGACTAACCCTTAAGGAATATCACACTCCTAAGAATATAGAAGACGTAATAGACGGCCCTGGATACCAACCATCGATTCTTCAAAAATTGAACCAGAAGGAGCGCAAGGTGTATACTGGACCTTCAAGGGAACCATACCTTAATACATATATTGACAAATTAAGGCAAGAAATCAGTGATGAGACTTTGCACAATCTACGATCTCCACGCAATAATCTAACCAAACGTGAGAGAGCAGCTTTGTTTAGACTAAGCAACAACACGGACATAATCATCAAGCCCGCAGACAAAGGCGGAGCTACGGTCATCATGAATGCAAAGGACTATGTAAAGGAGGCTAAACGCCAACTAGACAATGAAGAATATTACAAGAGAGTAGGAAGAGATCTCACTCTTGAACACGAACAGCTCATAAACCAGTGCTTAGATACACTTATGGACGACGGAGAATTAGAAGAAGAAGTAGCTAAACTCTTAAGACCAGCACAATCAAGGACTCCTATATTCTATATGCTCCCCAAAATACACAAAGTTAACAATCCAGGTAGACCAGTAGTATCCTCCGTGAACAGCCACACGGAGAAGCTATCAGCTTATGTGGACGAATTTTTGAGACCTATAGCAGAAAAGCTACCGTCATACATACAAGATACCACACACTTCATTAAGCGAATACGGAGTTTGGGCAAGTTACCCGAAAAGTGTTACTTAGCAACTCTGGACGTATCAAGCCTATATACGAATATAGACACAGACGAAGGACTCACTATTGTGGAGGAAGAGCTAGGCAAAACGAACCAGAACAAGCCATCACCGATGACATTATCGTGTCTCCTCGAGAAGGTTCTTAAGCTTAACAACTTTACCTTTGGCAATGAACACTACATTCAAATCAAAGGAACAGCCATGGGAACCAGAGTCGCTCCCAACTTTGCAAACGTATACATGGGTAGACTTGAAGAAAGATTCGTGTACCAAACAGAGTGGATGGACCATATCATACTCTGGGTACGCTTTATAGATGATATATTCCTTATCTGGAAAAGTGATAAAGATTCTTTGATTAATTTCATAAATTACCTTAACAGTGTAGCACCCTCAATCAAGTTTACACACGAAATCTCTGCACATTCAGTGAATTTCCTTGATACGACCGTTCTAAAGGACAATCAAGGCAACATCAGTACAGATGTTTATCAGAAACCAACTGATACTCATCCATACCTCCATTGGACATCAGCACATCCACCTCATCTGAAACGGAGCATCCCATACAGTCAAGCCTTGAGGTTGAGGCGAATATGCTCCTTCAACAGACACATTGAAGAAACGAATCCTGGAATATTCGGATTTCTTTGTAGCGTGTGGTTATGCACAACGCAAAGTTCTCCACGAAATGCAGAAAGTGCTAACATTGACTCAAGAGGAATGTTTACAGACCAAAGAACGTGAACCAATAGATCGAATTCCTCTGGTTACTACATTCAACCCCCATACCACATTTATTGCAGAAATTGCTAAACGAAATTGGAACTTTCTCAAATCAAAAGAAAGATTATCACTCATCTTCAACAAGCCACCTTTAGTAGCCTACCGACGACCGAAAAGTCTACGAGACAGACTTGTTCGTTCAAGATTTGTAAATGAAACACCTCAGAATTTGATACCAAAGGGATGTAGAGCATTTGAAAGAACGAAGTGTAGTTGGTGCAAAAAGATCAACCAGACCACAACTTTCACCAGTCCCAATAACAACAAGAGCTATACCATATTTCATACAGTGGAATGCCAATCGTCATGGATCATTTACATAATCGAGTGCAACATTTGCAAACTTCAATACATTGGCAAAAGCGAAACTGCATTTAACCAACGGTTAAACAATCACAGAAACCATATTAAAAAGGGAGTGAGTAGCTGCGAACTCACGGAACACTTTTTACATAACAAACGAACTCACGACTTTAACAATAATGTTACCATAACCATTATAGAGCAAATCCGAAAAGATCATTTAGAGACTGACAAAAAGAAAGAAGTCCTTAGAGAAAGAGAGATTTTTCGGCAAAGAACATTAAACTCCTTTCAGCCATATGGACTAAACAAAAGAACTGGATAAAGCTTTTACGCGAAAACCTTTATAAAGTTTTAGGTACATAAATTGTTTATAACATACGTTATAAAGGTTTTAAAACTGTTAACCAATTAGAAACACTAATTGTTTACGAGAGATTTTACTCAGCATTTAATTAAGCAACATGCACTGTACTAGGTCACACAATTAACCAATTAGGACTCTGTAACAATTGCATGTTAAGGCCCCTGAGGAAGGCAAATGCCGAAACGCGTCGGGTCTTGAATAAAGCGTTGAAAACGGAAGCACATTCTCCATTGTGCAAATTATATATATATATATATATATATATATATATATATATATATATACTAAAACCAATGAAAAACGAAAGTCTCCTTTTAACTTTTACTTTGCTTTTGCGCTACGCGTTTCACAGCTGGCATAGCAAAGTGTGTTTATTGACTTGTTACGTCACCGATCTAAGTGTAATTACAATAATAATGGCTACTGTAATTCGAAGCGCGCGAGCAATTAGCGTAATTTGAAGTCATTAAGGATGGGTTTATATTTCGAAATAAAAAACCTCTGTTTGTTCTTTCTCATGACCTCGGAGGGGCTGAGAATCTTGTAAAACGGAAAGATAGTGAACTGAGGGGTCAATCCCGCAGCACATTCATCAATATCCTTGCTGACTCCCAGCATACGTGTGTGTGGGTCTCTAATTTGTTGTTTATAAACTGTCGTTCTGTTTCTCGGGACATCACTGGTTTCAATATAAAATTATGTCCACATCCTGTACATGCATGTTATTACGTAAATCAAGTTCGTTGAGGTGCAGTTTATCGAGTGTTTTATCCGAAATGTTTCATTCGTGGCGGAAAAGGTGAGCTCTTTACCCTGTTTTAAATAGGGGAATGTTCCGCCACGTTTTGTTTCGCAAATTTTAACTTCCGGATTAGTGTCCTTTTGCTTGGAGAAATGGGAGTTTGTTAGCATCTTTTAGCAAAGTTTTCTAAAATGTCATTTAAAAGTGTTTTCAAAACCATTGTCACCTGTTGAAGAAATTATCTTCTCGTGCGTTCACCTTAAAAATCTCACGCCTCAACTTCTCGAAGGAATCGGAATAATTTTACAATGTGACAACTAGGCGAACAATAACGTGCAATAATACCCACCAGCGTTACGCTTAAAAATACAAACTTTTCATCAATTCATCGGCGGTGTGACGGTACCGGCGTAATTCGTAATTTCATTTGTCGCTACTTATGTGCATTGCATGAGGCCACAAGGTTAATCGGATGTAATGTATAAGTACGACCCTTAGAAAGCCATGACAACGAGAGTTTTAAATATCATATTTCCCCGCCCGCGGTGGATATTTAATTAGATATACTAAAAGTAGGGAATTAGATAGGAGTACCGAACGTTACGTCAGTGGTTTGAGAACGTTGATTGGCTGCCGATGACCAGATTGTAGGAACATATATTTACGTAAAACAAAACTAACTTTACAGGTATCGGCAAAATATAGGTTCATTCTAAGCTCAAGTCACAAAATCCGCGAAACCTCCTTTGTGTAATATATTTGCCTCTCTTTTGTGCCGGCCTCATGTATTTTTTTAAACTTTAAAGATCGTATGCTCCTAAGTTTGTTTTGAACAATCTCAACTTTTGTATTAAAAAGGATTTTCCGTCAATTGTCGCCCATTTCTATATTAGCGCAGTCATTAGAGTGGTTATTTTCTGCGTGAATATAAAAATGTCGGCAAGAGGAGAAGGAATTTCGTCCATAAAATGTCGTCTGCGGTGCGTACTTGAGCAGCCATTTCACATCCTTATTTACCTACTGCAAACTACGTGATCACACAGCTAAAAAGATCTATTGCTAGGGCTGCTCATTTTATAAAGAAAAATTAACATTTCACGAGACGAGGAGTGGCACATAAGGGGAGGTCGGTCCAAGTGTACATGCTGTGCATCAGTATTAAAGCCAATTCTTAAACATAAAAGGTTTTTGAAGAGCACAATAATTCAAGAAGCTTGTTTGAAATCATTCCAATAAAATTAACTGTGGCATATCCAAAACTATAGCATTCTTTACATAGGTCTTCAGTACATCTAATACTACTTCAACAATAAATGGAGTCGATCGCCACAAAATTCTATGTTATTTAAGGATTCTTCCCACAGATTTTTGAACTGTTTGCGATAGCTAGTAGATTATGTTTCAATCAAGATGAGAGAGAGAGATTCACCCTAATACCCATAAACCACCTTGCCATTCTGTCAAATGAACTGAATTAAAAACAGAAGGCAAAACATACAAGTTATGTAAATAAAGAACACTTAGGCATTAATTTAGTCCCACAGTGACTGTAGCCGTCTGTTTGGCCTCCTTCGGATTGTGACAGGGCTGGTGTCCAACATATGCAAGGGTTCCCCATCACTTTCATCACCACTGCAATGTTGTGGGGACTGTGGGGAGGGAGGAATCCTATTTTGAGAAGGAGACCTCTCAGGGCTCTGTCTATCACCAGGAAGGAGTGCTCATGCTGGTGAGGAAGTTGGTGGGCTGCGTGTGGATGGCTCTCCTTCTACTCTTGTATTTTGTGGATGTGAGCTCAAGAAGGCAGATGGCTGGTTGTCAATTTTCTCCTGAAGTCTCTTTAAGAGAGAAGATAGCTGTGGACTATGCCACAGTGGTGACTTCACAACCCACACACTCTCTTGACTGCCCTCACCATCCTCCTCATCACTCATGAAATTTGCAACAATTTGTTGCAGAGCAGTCTTCTTTGTATTAGAGGCAACCCTCATGCGCTTGATGAAGAGCTGCAAAGGAAATTTTTGATACAATTAAAGGATGAACAAATTTTGTATAAATGATGGTTTACACACATATCCCTTCCAAGCTTTGTGTGATCAATGTATATGTGCATGCTAATGTCATGAGAAAGTACATGTGCAGAATGTGAGCTGATTCCTAACACTATTCCAGTTCTGAGGCTCTTTCAAAGACAACTTTTCCTGTGCAAGGCTCTATATTGTAAGTTAATAGCTAAGTCACACAAGTTTCTAGCTTACCCTTCTCCTTCTTGATGTTAGCTTCTTCTCAAATTGGCATTTCTCTGCTTTATTTCTTCTGTCAGGCAGATTGTAGAGGTATTGTTGTCTTTTTGTTTTATAATATCTTGACACGGCACCTGGTACATAAACCCAAAGTCAGGTTTGGTCATTTTCAAATTCAACCTATTAAATTGTTTGGTTATGCTCCAAATGTGTCTGTTTGAAGTTAAGTTTTCATTCAACAGGAACAAGAGGAGTCTTCTACTAAAGGCAGGCACAAGATGGGTTATGCACCTACTTAAGCTCTCTGTTTTAGGGTACTCTAGACAACAAACTGTCAGATAAAATAAACAAAAGTTTAAAAATTTCTTACAAGGTGACCACATTTTGATGGACCAGAAAAGCAAATTGCATGCACACTCTAGTAGCACATTTATGCAAGCACTTTAAAGAGAAAATCATATGAACACATCACTTACGCTTGATAGTTGACTTTTCATAGCCATTGTTTTCCTTTCCCACTTCCTTACAAAGAAATCCTCAAACAGCACTGTTGTGGGCACTGTCAATGCTACAAAGGAATGTCATAGTAGTAATACTTTGTTAGAAAGGTGCATAAAAATGAACAAAATTAAATATGGGTTTGACCAAGCTTTTTTGGAAGGTGATCAAATTTTTGTGTGTTTATGAACTGAGACTTTGTCAAGATCTGTGAAGACGTAAAAAGTAAACAAGGCCAATTGCTCAGCATCTTGACTAAAATAAGATATTCACATGGCCAACAAAGTTTGCTTGTAGGAAAATGCTTGAGGGAAAATCACAGACAAATAAAATCCTGTCTTCTCCGTTTGCCAGCCAATCACAAAAAATCAGGGGACTTTGCAGAGAGCCGGAAACAAATCACTTCAAGTTGTTGACAGAAAAGACCACAATACACAAGAACACAGGCTTCTCCATCTCCTCGTGGTTTGCTTGGATCAAAATGGCAGACTATTAAGCATTGTATAAAATATTTTTTTGTCTTGTGAAAGTATTGCTTTTCAGTCACAAGTAAGCAAAGCTTCAATTTGGGCGGCCCAGTTTAATCTGTCCTACAAATTTTAATGTGGTTTCTTGTTTTGAAATGTGCCACCCCTCTAGGAGGGACAATCTCTTAACTTTGGTTGTCCTTTGTCCCCACCTAGAAAGGGAAATTACACACTTTGACTGCACCCTTTGCAAAGTCCCCTCCCTTACCCAAGGTCCCCCCCCCAGGAGATGGCTGATTATAGGTGCATTTCCAAAACATTCTACAGACAAACTCTTAATATCCTGAATAGATATCTTTTACTCACCCTTCACTTCCACAAAACTTAAGTTCAACTTCTTGTTTGTTGTGCAACAAGTGCACATCACCCTTAAATTCAAACAAAATGAATTATAAGAACATTAACGTTTCTTATAAGAACAGTGTATGTGGAATCAAAGATGAAAAGTGAAATAAGGGAGTTAGGTTCAAATTCTAATAATATCATGGGTCACAAATTATGCTTACAATTGTGTGGTTTTCAACTTGTTTGTTGTATCATTGAGAAGTCTGAGCACTCCAAGCATCGAAACTTTTTATGCATATGTTTTATAGCAAGGTTTTCAATTTTCTGAATCTACCTGTTTTTCAATAAATTGTTTCAAAGTTGAGTTAACTGTAATATCTTATTTACAATATATGATTTGGCTTTAATTTCTAAATGAACTAAAAACACTGCCCTATGAGATACAATTAACAATCCTTTCAAAATCTTTGACTTTGTGTTAAGACTGGTAATTGTATAGATGGTAAATTGTTTAAAGCAAGCTTAAGTTTTCTGCAGCATTTTTTTAATTTATGCCATAACATCTGTCCCTTGTAATATTTGAAAACACCACTTTAGCACCATGGGAAACATTGCTGCCTCAATTTTGTTACTTCACATGTGAAATTATAAATTAATGCTAAAATTTCCAGCCAGAATACAGGATGTATTATTTACAAAAACAAACAACTTAGGGACAAATAAAGAAATAAATGTTTAATCTTTTGTCTCACGATATAGAGTCAGGCTATCAAAAGTTTGACAGCAGTGTTTCCTACTGCTTCACTGCTAGTCTCTGTCAGGCAGCAAGTTTGAATGTTTACATGTCGCTATATGTAGTACTGTGGTGTTTTGTCATTGGTACCTTGTGTCACTCTGTCCTTGGTGCATTTCAATCCTCATTGTTATTCTGGCTAGCAGATGTTATTCCCTCATAGGTCCCTTTGTTACTGACTGGCTGTTATGCTTTTTGACCATAGCCATCCACGCTTCAGAAATTTTGATACCACTGTCTCTATTGATGTTATTGGGGTAAAGTTTTATGTGGATGGCTCCTTCATCAATAATGACAGCAGAATCGAAATTCCTGAAGTGTGGATGCCCACAATCAAAAAGCATAACAGCTGGTCAGTAACAAAGCTGACCTACGGGGGAACAACATCTGCTAGTTGGAATAATAACAAGGATCAAAATGTCCCAATGACAGAGGGCCAAAATGCACCAATGACAAAACACCAAGGTGCTACATAATTAGCAACACATAAACATTTGACCTCATCACCTGATGAAGAAGACTAGCAGTGTAGCTGTTGAAACACCCAATCAAACTTTTGATAACCTGCCTCTAAATCATGAGAAAAATGATTAAATGTTCATTTATCTATGTAACCACGATGAACAATAACATCTCCTATGACTTAAGGACATTTTTGTCACTTACTACAGAAAAAAAAACAATCCATACTGGACTATGTGCAGTAACCTTTTTTAGAAGTTGATTTTCAGGCACTATTGGCAAATGATGTCTGACATTCTCAAAACTTCATACACTGAAGCAATCTTTAAGGCCGCCCCCCCCCCCCCCCCCCCCCCCCCGTGTATTTATTATTCTCGGCTCAGTTTCAAACAAGCCATATGACATGCGGTATTAACATCACATAACATCACAAAGAAGAGAACAGATGCTTCTTTCAAAATAACTAAAGAAGGGAATAATGTCCCACAAGCTTAAAATACTTCCCAGACCAGAATCGAAGCTTAAAAGGAAACGCCTATAGCTACAGTGATGGAACAAAAATTTGCACAAACCTTTAGTTGCTTTAGAACAGGCCCACGGTAGATATTCTCCTTCTCGGTCGGCTAAGGTTCGCGATCGAGTTTGTGTCGCACAGTCTGTAGTTCGGTCTTCACCTCAGCCTGTCTAGTTTGGCATTTTGAAGCTTTACTATATCCCCCAGTTCTTTGATTGTGTCGAACAACTGTCGAATTTCTCGGTTTGAGACCACCAGGTTCTCCCGATTTCTAATAGAACTGTCTCTTAAAGGCTCTGGATGGGATGGAACTGCGCTTGATCGGGCGCCGGTTGATGAGCTTGAGCCGGATGGTCGTCGACTCAAAGTGGTACAGGTATTACCACTCCGGAAGAAAGATGCAGCCACATCGATGTCAAAACTGTAACCGTCCAGCGAAGATTACTGATCGAGCAACGCTTCTCTTTCCATACTAATTCGTCTGAGGGACCCGTAAGCCAATAATCTGCTTCTAGAGCAACCACGTGAGTAAGACTAGCCAATAAGCGCAGTCTCATTGAATGTCAAGCATTTTGTCAGCACGACTGTCGGCACTTTTAATCGGCAGCATATTCAATCGATTGCTTGGAGTTCTTGATCAAGGCAGCATAATGAGTGAATATACGGATCAGTTGGGAAGGAAATTTTGTACAAAAATTCCGGTTTTTGGTTTGGGGAAAGCTTCTATTATGATGACGTATGTGAAAAGTCCAGTTTGCGGAGATTAAACGTGAAAGGTGAGTTGAGTTAAAATGGAGAAATATGAAATGGTTTCCGTGTTTACATAGCCTGATGTAAACACGCGGGAGGTTGGGAGAACACGAGATAAGCGTAGGAAACCACGATGCGAAGCGGAATGGTTTAAACTCCAAAGAAAAATTAGGAAAATCTTCTTCTTCCATTACTGTACTCAAAACAAACTTAAAGATACTGAGTTACTGCTTAATAAATAGCAGGGAGAACTCCGAGAGAAGATTCAATATGAAAACTGTGTTTACATACGCTCATGTAAATTAACAAATAGAGAAGCCTTGACTGTGCTATTTTCTGTTATAAAGCACTTAGGAAGCGGCTAGAGCACGAAAGAAATGAAGGGAGAAACACGAGACGTAGTTAATCTTTAATCTTTAATCTTTAATTAAAGATTAAAGCACGAGAGAAATGTAGGGAGAAACACGAGACATAGTCGAGTGTTTCTTCCCACTTCTTGAGTGGGAAGAAGTCAAACCATAGCAACACGTACATGAAATGGCGGAATGTTCGAAAAAAATGAACAGCGCCATTTGTTACTCCAGTTAAGACTTGGGTAGAACTTGTGCGCTTAAAACCTGCACTAAAGACCGACTGGTAAGAGTGCTAATACATATCTCCTGAACACAAACCAAAATTTTACAGCAAAGGCAAGAGTCAAAGATCTCTGCCGGAACATCTGAAAGCATTACCAACAGTTTTTTAAACGGTAACTATCACCCATAATATCAAATAAACTCAGCTGTAACAGGTATTACGGCTTACGGCCCCTAATGACAACCCCACATGTGCAGTACATATACAGCTCTGTCCAGGCTGTCTGTTATAGGCTGTGTATATGTAATTACATTCAAAGCTTTGTTGGGGCATGGCCAGGATTTTTTTTACTTTTCCCTATGTATCAACATAAGGTCCACCAATCAATTACATGTACAGTACTTCAGTTCTCTGTGGAAAATGACATTCAGATGTGGAAAAACATAGTCTGTTGCTTTACAATGTTATATGTAAATGGCTTGATGCAAATTGTCCTTTTTGATAATAATAGTTTTTCTTTATTGGCTTTTGTTTTACTTTTGACTCTTAGGTACAAACATTCGTTTGTGTGTAAAGGTTGCTACTTTATAACCCAGGAAATACACCTGTAGCAATGCTATTGCATGTTGCTCTGTAAAAGGGGCCTCACTGTATATCAGTTCATTGATGCTGATCAGTCTAACATTCATCTTGTAACCACTGCAAGAAAACAGTGAGCAAAAGTACCTTCTATGAGCATCAGACATTATATGGTGATGATGCATGTGGATTCTCTAGTCAAAATGTGGAGCTTGAGTTAGACATGGACTCTGATTCAGAAAATGAAGGTGCTCTTCCTTGTTTGGATGATGAAGACAGGCAGTTCTTTTCAGAAGGAGATTCTAGTGGTGATGACAATGATGTAGACGATGAAATGTTATCAGAGGAGTCCTCAGTGGAAATACATGAAAGCTCCATGCAACCAGAACAGCAACTCTTGGTTAGTTTATGGAATATAACTGGTTCATACAGATGAGTAGCACAATCACCATGCCCACTTCTGTAACATGTATGGAAAATGTGAAAATTGCTAGTTTGGGACAAAATCACTTCTTTAGGTCTGTTTTAAATTCACATTTACTATGGCTACATTACAACTGATTTATTTCAAACTATTTTATTTTTGTCACATTTGATTCAAATTTGTATTTACCCATAATCCCTTGTGGGTGTGGTCTTTTTCACAAATAATCAATTTCGAGTTCACTGACACAGTAAAAAGTAGAAATAATAACATTTTGTATTACATGGAGGCTAGTATCTCCCTAGTGAGATCAACTGGCATTCTAAAAACTGACTTTCTGCCTCTTTTTACAACTTGAAGATCACATCACCATTTTTCTCTTGGAAATTCAGCTCTCTTTTTGCGATTCTTTTCATTATATTTTAGATTCCTTAGCCTATTCTTTTCCTGCTTTTTCCTCCTCCACTCTTTGATCCTCGCAAGCTTTTCTTCCTTTTCGTTAACCATACCTCTTGTCAAGCGCACTTGAAGCGATATTTACAGATGGCTAAATCTCAGAAAAATTATTGAGCTTGAAGACCCCCGACCCTTGATAACGTCGCAGAAACCAAAATAGGAAAGGTTACCAAGCTATTTTCGACACGGAGATGAAAAGATGAAGGCGAAATGGCGGAGCAAACAGCAGATTTCATAGCGCTTTTGGTGGCATTTGTGGCCAGACTCCGTTCTCAATATGGCGTCAACAACAAAATACCAAGCCCGAAGGAGGCCATGTGGTTCCGTTCTGATGAAAACTATGAGGTCAAGAGCAGGAAAGACATTCTTGTATCCTAAGCAGGTTTACTGCTTTAAAAAGGTTACTGATTCATTAAAAGACCTTATTAACAAGCCAAACTTCATGGAAAACTGTGAAAAGTGGAGAAATCGTTCCACTCAGCTGCTGCACAATGTTCTTGGAGACTGTTTTGAAGGAAGAGTTTGGAAAGAGTTTCAGTATGTGGAAGGAGAGCCCTTTCTTGCTATACCAAATAATTTTGGTATTATGTTGAACATTGACTGGTTTCAGCCCCCTCTTCATGGTTCAGAATCCATTGGTGTCATTTACATGGTTGTAACAAACCTTCCAAGAGAGGAACGCTTCAAACCTGAAAATATTATTGTTTTTGGAATAATTCCTGGGCCAAAGGAGCCTAAGCATCATATCAACTCCTTCCTGCAGCCAGTAGACGACCTTATTGACTTATGGGATGGAGTCATCTTAGACACAAACTTCTCTGGAACTGGGGAGATGTTCTGAGCTGCTATCTTAGCTTTGTCAAGTGATATACCAGCAACTCAGAAATGTGGAGGTTTTATTGGCCATACTGCAAAGAAAGGTGAGTGCACAAAGATGCACTATAACTAGAGTGTTTTATACAATTTTAATAATAACTCCTTGGCTATTTTCTCAAGATACATTTTCATTTCTAGATATTTAGATTCTGAAACATTTTCCTAAGTTGGATCATGATAAGCTGAATTAGTTGACAACAGCAATTATTTTGGTTACAGACTGAAATAAATCAGTGATCATATAATATGACATGTTAGATTAATAAGAATATTGCATTTAGATTTTTATGTACTGTCACAATTCAGTCAATTTGCAATTAATTTCATTTGATTATGCTATTTCCAAAAGTGGTTTGCACAAGTAGTTCTTTCATATAGTAATAGGTACCAAATGTATTGTGCGATCCTGTACAACAGTTAGTGTATGAGAAGTTATAGTATGACCTCTCATGAAATAGCTGTAGTCATTTATTTTTGCGCAATAAAATATTGAACCTTTTGTATGGTTCTTTAAGAGAAACCCAAAATATTGTTGTCAGTGTTTCATATCATTTTTTATCAGTTTTTAAATGTTACATGTATTACAATCCAGTGGCTGACTGTTGGCCAAATTGCAATTTTATGCAACAACAATAACAACAACAACAAATTTATCGAGGTATTTCCTAACAATACATGGCATTACCTATTAGTTGAGCTGAAGAAAATACAATAAAGCTCGAATCATTTTACAAAAGAAGTTCCCAGACATTGTTTGTAATTACGTATCTTTAATATGCTATGTTTAATAGATGAACCACTAGGTTGTGCTAAAACTTCTGGTCCTTACTTTTTATTGGCTTTGATAGCTGGGTTGTTGCCTCTTGTCATATATCATATGCCGTGAAGGATAAGATTGCCATCAGCAAAGCAACTGTTGCAAATTATTTTCCAACTTCAATGTTCAAAACGTAAAAAAATGGAAAGACTGAAAAAAAACCTAATAGGTTTAGAATTACCAAATCAAATCGACAGGCACAAAGTTTCCTTTTACATGAAATTACCGTCTTTTTAAAAACAAAAGCTATACTTAACTTTAGTTTTAACACTGAATGCGAAGACGCAACAGTATAGGTGCGTAAAGGTACCCCGCCTTAAGCGATAGGTAAAGGTGCGAACGCGATAAGCCCGGAGAAGCAAAGGAAGGTGAAGATGCATGTGCGTAAATTGATGACCTCCACAATGTAAACTTTTTAAAAAACCTTGTTACTTGAAAATGGAAAAAGGCTTTGAGACCCACGACTGACGACACGAATTACCGAAGGATAATTACCGAAGGATAATGAACTGATAGTGAGAGATCGCTAGAGATGTACAACCGAACAGTCGGACATATGTTCTCCACGTCATTTTAACTATAAAATTCTGAAGGGAAAAAAGAGCACAAGCGTTTGTGGTTTCCAAGTAACGTGCAAGGACAAACGTATGCAAAATACGTTTATTTTACGACAAAATATATCTGTGCCGTTAAGTATCAGACCCTTGAAATTCTTTGACATGCCGCGATTAACGTACCCAGGGCATGACTTGTCATGACACGCCGTGTCACGGGTGTCAGGAACATGACACTCTCCGACACGCCACGTTTCCCGACACGTCGCGCTCTGATCTGCGACTCGTCTTGTATCGTGAAATATCACGGCTCTAAAAATTCCACGAAATTATTCATTTCACGCAGTGCAAGGGGAAAAACATATTCCAGCTTCGCAAATCATTGAAAGTTGGGTAAACCACGACACTTTGTCACGCTCAGGACTGTATATTATTTATTATCAGACAAGTTTTGTGTCTTTTCGGTCCTGGATTTGCAACAAAACAATAATATTTCACTGATTTTACAAATTTGATTCAAAACTAAGATAAAGCAACACATTTTGAGCAGATTAATTTGCATTAAATGGTACTTTGACAACATTAAATGTTTAAGTTCTGTTTACTTCAATTAAACAGTACTTAAACACACAGGAATGTTTTGGACACATTTAATGTGAACTGAAACCTACATTATGTTTTAGCATTAAGATAGTATAAGCCAGGTTTGAGTCCAACTTAAATCTAGGTATAAGTGACCTAAACATCCACTTAAACCTATTAAACCTGAGTTTAAGACAGGATTATTCCATGTTTAAGGACACTCAAATATATCTTTTCTCCATGTGCTGTTTTAGTATTCACCAAAACAATTACTCTCATCAGCATTAATGGTGGATACTTAAAGCGCCATTTTGCGGCTTGGTTAATATCTACCACTAGCTACTTCCACTTCGCTGAGTAGTTGTTAGCACTAAACAGTTCTTAAAGAGGAGACTTAAACTCGAACTAGTATTACCCCTACCAGTCTGTTACGATATAATTTTTATTTCTTTTCCTTTTCCTTTTTTCTTTTCTTTTTTGCAATTAAAGCGCATTCAATACATCTCGTGTGATATCACGGACTTTCTAAATACATGTATTCTGAGTCAGCGTGAACCGAACGCTGGATTTAAGATATATAGATTTCTTGAAGATCGCTATTAGAAGTTTCCTCATCAACATATAATGGCCAGGAATATATGGGCCATCTCGATTTCCAAAATTTTCAGCAAATTTCCAACTGCAGGTCATTTAGTTATTTGAGAGCCGTGACCGGCAGTCGACCTCTTGCAATTTCTAATTAAGTGTCAACATCCATGGCTCCGAACTCCGAGACCAACTTGAATCATCGCCGATTCCTATGTTAGCGCAATCACCAGAGTCCTGATTTATCGATGAATATGAAAATTTCGGCAAAGAAAAAGGAGTTTCGTCCATGAAATGTTGTCTGTGGCACATACTTGAGCAGCCATTTCGAATTCTTGTTTACCCATTTCAAACTACGTGACCACACAGCTTAAAAGGTTTATTGCTAGGACTGCTCATTTTCTTGTGTTACGACTTGTTGACTCACGGGTTTGGGTGTTGTTTTCCAGACGAGAAATTTTAAGTTTTCAACTTGCGCATAACCGGGCTTTCATGATTTTTTTTCTCCCTCCAAATTAAAGCATTCTTTAGAAACAAGTCATTGTTTAGAAACTTTTTTTCGGGTCCTCTCAACATTCAAAGTGGTTTATATATGACGTTAAACTGATGAAAAAAAAACTGTGGTTTATTGCTTGGCTTTTCACCTCCTGAAGTAACAAGAGACACGAGATCTGAGTTTGTAATCGTTGCAGGTTAATTTCTTTTTTGTATACTACGAGTACGTCTTTGTAGTCGGGTAGAGCTAAAAACCAATGGAAAAACATCTTACAGCTTCGCAAATTATGGAAGGTTGGGCAAACCACAACTCTTTATCACGCTCAAGACTATGTAGTCCTTATATAGTCCGAAAATAGTGTTCCGCGGGTAAACAAAATGGCTGAACGACGTTTGAATCAGTACACACGACACACGGCTCGATGTTATTGTCTTTCGAGTTCTCCGCCTTCAGTTGAGGTGCCGTCTCGAAAAGTAAACTTCATCAGTTGAATTTCTTCAACTGACTTTATTTTTCATGCTAAAGAAGTTCCGGAATATATTAAAACTGCTGCCTAGGCTTGCAAACTTTAATAGCTTTCCGCACAGACTATCATGAAGTATCTTTCAGTAGCACGTCATTATTTACAACCTTTTTCCGCGTTCTCTCAACGTCCCAAGTGGTTTACAGACGACGGTAAATCGATAAAAAGAGTCTGGTTTATTGCTCAGCTAGGGTAATAGGAGTTAAAATCATATCTTTGAGCTATATTATCTCACTGTTTTTGTATATACTACAAGCACGTTTCGGCAGTAGGGTAAGGTAGGAGGGAAAAAAATTTTCCAGCTTCGCAAATCTTGACTCCATGGTTTGACCTTGACTCTTAGTCACGCTCAAGACTATATATTATTTATTCCAGGTTTCTCGATGAAGAAATGACAAGATCTTATGTTCAGAGGAAAAAAAAAAGACTCAAACACAAATGTAGACAAAGTTGAGTTGAAGTATGCTAAAAACTGTTTGACGCGAAAATGTCGCAAAGGAGTCCGCGTTTAGCGAAAAACATGACGCCTTGATGGTTAAAAAAAATTTCCTTTTAAGGAAAAGAATTTTTGTTCGTAAAAACTCGAGTGCATTTTACATTTACTCTTATCATTTTCTTTTTCCTTCTCTTTAAGGCTTTTTTAAGTAATAAACTTTAATACATCGAAAAAACATCGCCAATGCAAAGTCTTTCACACCAGGATTCAGAGAAGGTTTTTGGTGAAAAGTTTTCGTTTGAGGCTACTTTCATATTCTATTTTACATTATATCCTACAATTTTTCATGCATAAAACTTTCTTCATCAAATCTCTTTTAAAAAAAAAGTTTCTCTACTTCCATGTTGTACACACCTCTCTTCCACTAAATATTCCTGCCTCCTCTCACAAATTTAAAAAAGAACAAATTTTTCCTCCAAATGGCTTGGAAAAAGGAAATAATGGAAACAACCCTAATTTAAGCGCTCGAAAATAATGCATATCAGCAGAGAGAAAGGCCTTTTCCCATTACCTGATTTTGTTTCCTATCACAAATTGTTATCAGGATTTTTATTTCATGATCGCTGACAAATTTC